GTGATTCCATTAGGCAGAGCCTGATGCTCCTAAGGAGGGGTGTCATGTTTAGTTGGAGGTAAAGGAGGTTCTTGATGTGCTGGTGGGAACCAGGGGAGCTGACATGTCTGTATCCATTCCATCAGCTCCTGATTCTATTTTATTAGTTACATCGTGGTTCGGCGGTAGGCCTCTAGTTCATTGAGTGGAGAGAGGTTCACCGTTGGGGGGTGATCTTTGATGTCTGCTTCGGGGGTTGGAAAGTTCTCTGGTAAGTTTTAGTGAACTTAGGAATTGGCGTGAATTTTACTCATGTTCCGAGTTGAAACCATCAAACAAATAAAAACTCAAAAGGAAAATGATGAAAACCATTCCCACAGACGCCGCCAACTGATGATGCTCGAAAATTGCGGCCCAAGCCCGATGGATAAGATTGTGAAGTTATTATAAGGTCAATTGATTAAGTGGCCCATCAAATGTGGTTAAAAGAACACGAAATGTGAGTGGTTCACCTTAGTCGAAAGACTAAGACTACGTCCACTGTGAAGGGAGTCTCCTGCTCCTCGAGGTTGTATATTGCTTGACCTTTTGTGAGAATTACAAGGATACAAGCACTGGATTCATTACTGGGGGCAAGTATTTTCCTCTATTTGCTAGGGTTTAGGCTTGAGTATCTGGACTGGAAGGAGAAGGTTCAGAAGAAAAATTCACCCTTCCGTTAGGTAACAGTTCTTTATTCATACAATGATTCTCTTAGGGTTTCCCATTGCTTCACCTCTTTTTGTGCTGATTTCGTGGGTCCTCTCCTCTGCACCCTGTGGCTTCCTCTATCATCTGATGCCACTATTCATTCAGTGCTACTGTTACCACGATCTCTGGTGGCTTTGCATTCCACCCTTTCTCAACTATGCGATTATGGCAAGTGTCAGGGGTGGTTCCTGAGTCTTTGGGTTATGTGGTGCAATGAAAATGATTTAAGGAGAACCTTTGGGCCAAGCTTCCATTTTGAGGTTGCTCATCGACTAGGCCGGATTGGGGTTGTGTGTATAGTAAGCCCTCTATTGATGTTGGGCTTTCCCCCTTTGGCTCAGCCCTCTAGGCCAAAAGATGTGGCCCAATTATGGATCTCATATTCAGATCATTTTGTAGTGGACTCATGAAGGCCCATGACTCAGATTTCGTCCTCATCAACTACCATTCTCTTTCGTTTCTCTTGCTAGAAAATGATAGACGTACAACAATTATAATTTCCATATGGTTCTCTTTAGTGTCGTGTACTAATGCAAAATCATGGTTGTTTTCATTAGGATTCCTCATTTTCTTCAAGAAGAGGTGTTTGTAGCTAATGAAAAGTAGTTAATGAAGAGAGCCTTTCCATTTAGATTTCATGGTTAGTAGTGGCAGTAGTCAGTTGGGCAGATTAGAACTTGGATTGAATTACTTACACCGCAAGCTTTATTTCACTCCCTTCCAGTTTCACAAAAGCTTTAATGATATAATCTTTATGCTCTTTTTTTTTGGTACAAGAATATTTTTTATGATTTTGAAAGTCGCCTTGCAACTAATATCCAAGTTTGAATGACAGTACAATTAGACTTGAACTTGTGCACATAATTTTATTTTTTTACTCAAGGTAAATTTTCAATACACAAAGGGCTTTATAATGGAGATGAAACTTCTAATTTCTACCATGTGATGGATAGTTGCATTTGGCACCTAGAGCGTCAATGGGTTCTTTTTTTTGTCCTTGGAATCTCTCCAATTAATGTGAAAAAATTTTGAATTTCAAAGTGGATAACAAGATTTAAAATTTATCTGCCATGTTTTGTATGCAACTCTATTACATGGATCTACTATTAGGTTTGTTGGAAATTGGAAACTTTTTTGTTATCTGCCAAGTCCTTGTTAGTATGGTGCTCGACCTTTCTGCGAAGGAATCGCAAGTCAGTAGTGTCTAATCTTTAATTTACAGGAACCATCAATTACCTGAAATTTGTCATGTATCTACCTTAGCTTTCTGTTGAGGATGGCATATTGGTTAGATAGTTGGTTTCTTTGTTGTCAATGATGGTCCTCAAGTATCTATGATGATTGTATCAGTTAATGTAATTTGTGATACAAACCATTTAAAGTTGTTTAACTTGCTAAAAATAATAACCTCCCAACTCTTGATCATTTTAAATTGTTGAAATTAGACCAAGTCTTTCAAACTATCCTTTTTCCTTTCTTTATTGTTTGAATTATTTTTACATAACAAGGTTTTAGTAGTGTAGTTGTAATTGGAAAGAAGTTTTAATTACAAAAATAGGTTTAGTACGAGTGTGAAGATGCATTGGGTAGGAGTTCTTATATATCGAATATCCTCTTGTTCAAAAGACATTGTCTTTGACAAGGATGTAATATTTTTCGTTGGAGTTAATGACTTTGCCAAAAAAATTATTTTTGATATACTGGGCTTGATGGGACCGACCCAAGACCCAACTCAAGTTGTGGGCCCAACTTGAATAAAGGACCCATCTAGAGGAAACCTAATGGGTCCAGCCCAAAAGAAATCCACATTTAGTCAGGCTCATCAAAGCTCCAAGAGCCACGTCATCAAGGAGTAGGTAGCGCCATCCCAAGAGCCTCATCCAAGCCACCTTGGAGTAAACGTCATCCCAAGAGCCTTATCCAAGCCATCTTGGAGTAAGGAGCAAAGAAATCAACTATGTCATCCTAAGACCTGATCTTAAGGAGAGCTCTGCAACTGTCTCATCTGTTGCAAAGATGATGCCACCTCCACTAAATTAGTCTTTTAGTTATTGATAAATTGCCTAAATCAGTTACGAGGTGACTATAAAATGTAAGACCCGCCTACACATGGGGGCATCTATGACGGGCATAACTCTCACATCTCTCACATCTTGTATCTGGCAACCAAAGCCTTTCAAAGTGGAGTAGGTCACCTTGACCAAACCACTGTATATTTGTATGTTGCTTGTGTTATCTCTCTCCTTATTTGTTATTGCATTAATTACTTGACAGGTGGTGTACAAAACTAATTTGTGTATCACCAGTTTGGCGTCGTCTGTGGAAACGACAAACTTTTCACTTAACCATCCTTTTTTGTATCTTTGACAATCACCACTAGATCCATGAATCATCCTGAGGATAATCCACCAATTGAGGAAGAGGCTGCCCTTCTGATAGCCAATCATCTTCCAAACCCCCATCTGAAAACGATAAAACAACTAGTACCCAGAATTAGCAGATTCTACAATTGATGTTTGCTAGACAAGGAGGTGTGCAGCCAGGAGAGCATCAAGCCATGGGAGCTCCTCGCCCAGGGAACCAAGGAGGTCCCCCGTAGTGCGCCCCCTTAGGATCACCATTAGGCGCCCCTTTAAGGGGAGCCCCTCATCATCACAACGGAGCAGCTCCTCCTCTTCCTCCAACTATCACTTCCCATGCTGGAGATCCTCCTTTTCAAGAGGATGAGGGGAAAAATCAAAGTGTGGACCATGGGAGCCACTTTTATGACCAATCCAAAGGAGTCCCCAATCATTGGGACGAGAAAATAAAGGAAGTGCAAAATCAACTAGGTGATGTTTTCAACACAATGAAGGCGCAAGGACCTGAAACTGTTGAGTACCTCGTAAGGCGCATTGACACGCATTTCATAGCCAATGTGGCAAATTACCCACTTCCCCAAAAATTCAGAATGCTATCGGTGGAAGCGTTTGATTGCACAAAAAATCCACTGGATCACCTCGACACCTATAAGTCCTTGATGCAACTGCACAATGTTCCTAACAAAATCATGTGCAAAGCCTTTTCAATAACCCTGAAGGGATTAGCCCGACAGTGGTTCGCCAAACTCATCCCGGCTTCCATAGGCTCCTTTGTTGAAATAACCAGATCCTTTGTAGCACATTTTATTGGTGGATGCCACCACCAAAAGCCTGTCACCCATCTACTCAGCATAAAACATGACCGGGATGAAAGCCTGAGGAGTTACCTCACTCATTTTAGTGAGGAGGTCCTCCAGATTGAGGAGTTCAATGACAAGGTTACCATAACCGATTTCTTGGGAGGCCTACACTCATCTAGCTTTTTCTTCTCAATGATGAAGTGCCCATCAAATAGCATGCCCAAATTGTGGGCAAAAGCTCATAAATACATAAACGCCAAGGATGTCACCAAAGCTAGACGAGGTGAGTCATTGCCATCATTATCACCACCAGCGCCCAACTCCAAAAAAGGAAGCCACAAAGGCACAAGCATTAACAGATTTTGTGGCTGAGCTCACACCGCTTGAGGAGAGAGATTGTCGAGAAGACTCAACTCCAGGTGCCAGGGGCCCATCAGCGCTCCTACCCAGCACTCAGCTCCTTAGTCGTCAGCCCTCAGGCACCTAGCTCCTCAGCGTCCTCCTCATCTTCATTTATTGGAATGAGCCTCCGGCTTAGTGGCCCTTTCATAGGCTAACCCTCAAATTTTGCCTTTATTCTCATGCGGGCAACCTCACAAACAGCTTATCTCTGGCTTAGCGACTCTCTCGTGGGTCACCAAAATCTTGGCCTATCTCTGCTCTACTCTCAAACAGGCAACCTATGTCCCCAACTTAGCAGGTTGCCAAAAGATCGGTCTCAAGAAAGGTAGCTTTCTCACAAGCAACTCTCAAATTCTATCTCTACTCTCATGTGGGCAGTCTCACAATCATCCTACCTCCAACTAAGCGACTTTCTCATGGGTCACCAAAACCTTGTTTGAAGAGGTGCAGCTCTCTCACGAGCAACCATCAAACTCTGTCTTTGCTCTCACACAAGCAGTCTATTTCTCTACAGCTCGATGTGTCTGCCTCTTTTTCCATGTTGGATATTTTGATGTTGGAGTAACATTGTTTCTTCCATATCTAGGCACACTCTTGAAACTCAGGTCGTTTGCAACCCGCGAGACTACATTAGATTGAATGTCAACAATCGGGTCTCATCCTTTTTGTGGTCATCCAGCATCCACTACTGCACTTGACTAGGCTAGCGTCAACGCGTCTGCCACGCATAACGCTGCCCGTCTGCGCCCAGCGATGCTGTGCCTAGCTCATCTACTTGCTTGCGCCTAGTGATGTCGTCCCTGGTGCACTGCCTACTCCTCCATCGGCGCCTGTTGTGGCATGCTTGCCATCCTAAAGCTCCTCGCCTTGGGTCCCTACCTCGTCGGTGCCAGCTAGCCTAGCCTCACCAACTCCTGCTAGCCCCGCCTTACCGACGCCGCTAGCCCTGCCTCACCAACTCTTGCTAGCCCGGCCTCATCATCACTTACCAGGACCCTTGTTTCGTTGTCACCTGCCTCAATGTCAATCAGCCCTATGCTGTTAGCCTCTTCTCCGATGTCGATAGCCTGTTGCATCTCCCTTTATTGATCTGACAGCGGTCTCTAGTTATAGGGAAGAACCAAGAAGGAAAAAGGGTCATCAGTCAATAGGAGTCTTCGTCAACCCGAGTCCTAATGCCCTATTCTCCAAGTTTTATTGGACTCAGGGCATTGGGGGGTAACTTGAATAAAGGACCCACCTAGAGGAAACCCAATAGGTCTAACCCAAAAGAGATCCACATCTAGTCAGGCTCCAAGAGCCACATCATCAAAGAGTAGGCAGCACCATTCCAAGAGTCTCATCCAAGTCACCTTAAAGTAAGCGTCATCTCAAGAGTCTCATCTAAGCCATCTTGGAGTAAGCGTCATCCCAAGAGCCTTATCCAAGCCACCTTGGAGTAAGGCATGAAGAAGTCAACCACGCCACCCTAAGACCCAACATTGAGGAGAGCTCCGCAACTGTCTTATCCGTTGCAAAGATGACGTCACCTCCACCAAATTAGCTTTTTAATTACTGATAAACCACCTCAATCTACTACGAGACAACTATAAAATGTAAGCCCCGTCTACAAATGAGGGGCATCTATGACGAGCATGTCTCCCACATCTCTCACATCTTGTATTTGGCATCTTATCTCACACCTGACTCACCTGAGCTCTCCACACTCCTACAACAATAAAACATCCTGGCAACCAAAACCATTTAAAGTGGAGTAGGTCACATTGATCGAACCACTCTATCTCTGTGTGTTAATTGTATTAGCTCTCTCCTTATTTGTTATTGCATTAATTACTTGACATGTGGTGTGTAAAATCAATTTGTGCATCATCAAGACCCATTATATAAATTAGAGATCCAAAATTTCCAAGTTTTTTTATGATAACAGGATTCTTATTTGGCTAATTATCAATGTTTAAGAAATAAGTGATTTTTAGCAAAAGTGATTCACGACTTTACTGTTCCATCACATTCAAAATGGATCACATGTAACACACATACACCACGTAATATACTCAAATGTACAAAATAAAATAACAAAAATATGAAATTAAAATCAAAATTATAATTATAATTCAAAATATTTCACGTGCAACGTACTAGTAATAGTATAAATAACTACTGTATTTTGAATGCCAAATGACATTAAATTGGGTTTAGATGGGTTTTTAAATTGGACTGTGTGATCCAATACAATACAACAGTGAATTTTTTTTGTTTTTCTTAATTTTCAGTACTATACAAAGTACAACGGTAAATCACTACCTTTGTTAGGATAGATTTAAGGTTTCTGTCTAATAGAACTTGAGCTAGAATTATTAGTGTTATGGATCTAAAATCCGGCGATTGTCTCTTACTTCTTGTTGTTTACAAGTATTTCAGAAATGGGTATTTGTCACTTATATGTTCCTGCAGCATAAAAAAACCTTCCACCTATTCCTGACTGGCTTTTTTCAAAAGGGTTTATGCGTCCTCAGTGAATGTCATAGTAGACGAAATGATTTCTTGAAACTAAAACTTATTACTATATAAGTAAGTACACATAACTCAAACATATCCAATACATAATACTCCCATTTATAGTCGAGTTGGATGAGTTAAGTGGTTGAGAATTTAACTTCACTTCAAAAAGATTGATTCCGAAACTCGAACATATGCTATTGATCAAGAAAAGTACTTGCTAGATTCTAAAAGCATTTGCAAACTTTTTATTTTTTATTTTTTTTGGGACCCAAGGAGTTGAATGATTGATATTAGGAAGTTGTCCAGACTTTTCTCACTAAAAGAGACGTTGAACAAAAATGCTCATTTCTCACTTTCTACTCAACTTCGAAGTCATTTCTTTAAAATAATCAAATGGACATGAAAAGGTCATTGCAAACATAGTAGTATAGTCTTTTTGGTACACGGATTGCTTTTTGGTTCTCTTCCAACAGCGCGTAAGAAATGCAAAAACTTCTCCATCAATTTTGCAAGGTGTTAGTGCCTTTTGATTTCGAGTAATATTAGATTGACTTAAAAATTAGACTTAAAAATTTCAACCATTGAATAGGTAGTGGATCCACACACATACTTTTCCAAGGTAAGAGGTGGGTGAGGTGTTGCTAGGGTTATCACATTGAATGGTATCTCTAAACCGTATAAGTAGTATAATGTCAAAAGTTATTCAATTAATAACTGACTTATTATAATCATGTATAATGAAATTTATGCAGCGGATCAACATTTGTGTTAAATCGGAGTTGTGCCATGTTTAACTTAATTCGTATCAAAATCCATTCATTCAAGGGGTCTAGTAGCTAACTTAGTTATCACCCAAACTACAATGGGTAAATCTAATCCCACTTCAATTTTGTAGGTCATGTTTAGAATTACCGACTTAAGAATCAGTCTCCTAGGAGAAAGGCGGGGTGTCAAAAGTTACTTTTGGTGCTTTTTATAATTGTGATTGTTAAAGTTCCTACAAAGGATCTTAAGTTTATTAATTATAATTCACTTTAAAGAGCTTGAATGATTGTTAAAGTTACTACAAAGTAAGAAATGAATTTTAAATGAGTAAAAGAGAAGAACTAAAAATAAAGGTAGCATAGGAGATAAATTAAAGAATAATCAACTTAGGTGATATGATAGTTGTTGAAGGAAAATATATGAGAGTAGAAAAAGAGATCAAGATTAATTTTAAATAAAATAGGCAAGAAAAATATGATAACTATAATTTAACTGAAAATATGACCCTTAATATAGCACAATGATAAAATAGGATTCAACAAGTTGACCGAAAAAATTTAAGAACAAGACTTTGTAGAGCTGAGTTACATACATGTACATTCAATTGCAAAAAATAATCATACTAGCTTAGACATCGAATTGGACATTTAGTCTGTAGATATAAGAACTCTCAAACCATGTATATTTTTGTGTATTATTTTCTCATCTTTTTATTTTTATATGTCTTCTCTCACATTCTAAAACTTCTTTGGTCATCAATATTTAACGCTGGTCCACAATATGTGAACAAGAAGAAAGAAAATAGAATGTTTCGTGACCAATAAACCAGAATCCACCCTATAAGTAGGAAGGTCGGTCAAAAAAGACAAATAAAAATGGAAGTCAATATGATTTTTGAGGTCTAATTTAGAATATTTAGCATTTCTATATGCAATTTTGTCGATTAGCCATGACCACTAAAAGGTAGAATACTCCGATAATTCATGGGTCTTCCAATATGATTTTCGACATATAATTTAGAATATTTAAGGTTTATGTACGCAATTTTGTCGATTAGCCATGACCAATAGAAGGTTGATTACTCCGATAATTGATGGGACCATGATGCAACAAAAAGTTCTCCATCTAAAAAGAATAACAAATTATGTTTTGACCCTTTATGTATAACCATTATACCATATTATCTTGTCTATTATTGAATGCCTCACATTGACCCATAAAATAGACAAATAATTAAAATTAAAACCGTGAATACATTTTTATTCTCTTTTTTCACATAACATCAGAACCTAGGCTCGTGAATCATTCATGTCAAGAATAATATACTTTGTGGTTGACCAGCAAGGAATCCTCCACGTCAGAACCCTTGATGCTCTTTTCCTTTCTACTATCCTTCGACAATCTCTTCCGGTCATTCTTCGGTGACTTTCTAGTCGTCCTCTAGCAACATTTCGATTGTCTCCTGGCCATCCTCCAACGACATTCCAATCAAATTTTCAATCATCCTTTGGCAACATTCCGATCTCCTCCTTGCTGTACTTTGGTGACGTCCTGACCTACCTCAACAAGTTTTTCTTTCTCGTTCTAGACTTGTAGCATCCCTTCCATTGATTTGGTCATGATCACTACACTGTCTAGCTCCTTGACTCCTCTCACTGCTACAACTTCTTTGTTTTCTCTTACTACAGTTGACCTTGAGGCAATTGTGACTAATGTTTTATCTCATTTTATTGGCAAATGACTTATGTTGTTATGTACCCTTACCCATCTCATATGACATCCTAGGTAAGAAATAAACCTGAATAGGAAGAAACCCTACTTCTTGGAGAGTAAATGAAAGGTAGAAAACCTCAAGAACACCGCCCAAGCCCAAAACTTTTGATTTTTTCAAATCTCCTCTTTGGATCTTCGGTGAAATCCTTTATTTTTGGCACGTAGGTGTAACCTTCGTCGCGGTGATCGACTTTAACTCTTGGTCTGATGGATTCCGACCGACGAAACTTCGTGAATTGAAGAGAGAAAGGTAGAAATTTTTTTTTTCCTTCTTCTCCTTCTTCCAACATGTGAACCAGCTGATAATGGGGAGAGAAATATCTAAAAATCAGATATTTCGCCTCTATTTATACTCTTACAATGGGCGGTCCACGTCACACCGCACGTTTCTTATTTTTGGTTTCGTTTTTGTTTCGAAACGACTTAATTTCATCCCGATTTAAATTCAAATTAATTTTATTTAAAATTTTATTTAATTATAAGAAAATTTTATAAATTTTATTTTTGGGGACATTTGTGAGGTCACCCGGCCCCCAATTGTCTCATAAAACGTAAAAAATTTGACTATCTCGAAATTCAATGAAAGTTGATAGGGTAACTAGAATTCGCGAGATAAATCCAATGGTGAAATCCATTGTGTCATTCGAGCTCTAGAAAAATATGTATTTTAATTCCGCATTATAGTAACAAATTACTATTTTACCCATTTTTCAGAAAAAGTTCAAATTTACCTAAATTTTACAATATATATATTTTTTTCTCTTGCAGATTTGTAAATGTTTTTCATGCAGTTTTTTTTTAAAAAAAAAAAATTTCATGCAAATATTTTTAATTTTTTCGTGCAATTTTTTATAATTATTTTCATGCAGTTTTTTAAAAAAAAATTTCCTACATATAGTTTGAATTTTTTCATTCAGTTTTTTTTTTAATTTTTTTCATGTATTTAGTTTTAATTTTTTCATGCAAATTTTTATTTAATTTTGTTCATGTACATTTTTTAAATTTTTTTCTTTCATTTTGTTATGTCATATTATTG